TGGAAGCAATAACCAGTTACTGGTATTCTTCAAAAAGCGTTTAAGATCTCTTAAATCTACTTCTATAATCTACACTCCATGAAAGTTAGGTCGACGTTCCTGTTCACACTGTAACCTAATATCCTCCCTGACGCCTCTCCCCACATAACATTTTCAAACTTATGTTTATTAGTTAGTTGGAGGCAATCAGCAAATAGCCCTGACCGACCTAGGTTTCACGCTTGCATGCAAGGATTGTAGTTGAAAACAACTCCGAACTGTATTTAATCATTACGTGCAATCGCTAACTGTCTGACACCTTGCAACACAACAGTACCATCAGAACAACAGGATAAATCAAACAAAGAAGAAAAATTTCGTAAAAAGTAAATATGACTATGTCATTAAAAGATTGAATAGTTTATTACCGTGTGATGCATCAATTCTCCTTTGATGTGTATAGTCAGTTTAACAATCAGTGGCTTTTTAAACCTAAGAAGAGGAATGTGAATTAACTTAAATTACGGTATATAAGCGAAAGCTAACGATTGATAATCTGGTCAGGGAACTGGGGCAAAGTACTACTTGGTCTGGCTATTAGCTAACGTACCTTTTAGATATATACTCGAACTCATATTGCTGAATTTCGTGGCTGGTAAGTTCTGGCAGTGTCATTTACTAACTGACTTTAGGCTAGATAATTACTGGCGGGAAAAGGGAGCACTGAACTTTGTTTGGGATTGCTTGGCACTGCGCGACTACGACATCATACAAAACGCGACACATCACCTTCAGATTCCACAGAGACTACCTTTCTGTCCAGCAAATGAGTTGAAACCCAATGATCAGTATTTCGCGACCTACATCAGTTCGTGATCTAGAACGATAATCACCTAATATCATCTAAACGTATTTGAAAAGGGCTCATTAGATTTCCTATTTCATAAGAGTTCATTGTGAAAGCCGCTTTCAAATAGACCAACTGCTCAAAAAACACTCAACTGAGAAATATATAGCCACAGTACGTGTTGCATATCCTTTGCCACTTCGAAAAATCCCATCGACACATAAATTCAAGTCTTAACTGTGAGGCGCTGAGAACTCAGTCAAATTCCACCCAACCATGCATTTAAACATTTCATGGATCTTTAGAAAATCTGCTTTCTCAGTTGACATCAATTCATAATTTCCTGAAAACCAGGGAGGATTGGACATGTGTTGTTTTTCCTAGCTTACGAATAACTTGGAGTCAGTAGCCTCAATACCCTCTCAAAGATCAGATCTAGGCTATTTAAATAGCTTCGATGATAGATGCTTATTTTCAAACTTCAGCCGGAATCGAACCACGTTTTGAAAGTACATCAATACTATCAGTAAGCGTTCTTCCTCACTTCAAAAATTACTAGTGTCGTGCAGATCATAAATTTTTACTAAGACTAAGAGGATTCCAAAACTACCAGTGTTACTACTCTCACCCAATAGCTTAATTGTAATATCGCCATCACAAAACTCGAATTTCTTTAGTTAAATACCTGAGACGGCTGAGAATAGTACTGACTGATAAGTTCGAAATTTAAATGGTTTTCATTGGTTGGTAAGCTTCAAATGTTCAGTTCGTAAGAGAACTATCCTTAAACTTCATTCATTCATTCGTTTACTTCTTACTTATCTTGTTTACTACAAAACGGCAAAATACAATCCACTATATGTCTCATAAGATAATTAACCAACTTATAATGTACTACTTAAAAAGACTCAAGTAGTACATAAAAACTTTAGTATTTTCTTTATCGATTTAGAAAAAGGAAAACAAGATGAAACAAAATAATCATGCAAAAACAACCCTGTCCAAATAGAGATTCCATTGTATATATAAATATATCAATATCAAGTACTGATGGAACGCAGTAGAACTTATCCAATATTGACGTATGCGCCACAGTTACGACTGTAGAGTAAGCAATCAGTTAATTTCTGGTTATTGATTTTATTCTTGTTTTTGTTGTTGTTATTGTTTCTCAATCTCGTTATATACACAAGCTGGCTTGTACAACTGATGTGTAGTTTTACATATACGCAAAATGTTTACAGAGTCGTGTTTATACAGATGCATTTGTTTATGATTTTATGTGTATAAGTGATCATATATAAGCATGTTTGCATGTGTGGGTGTGTCTGATTCGGATATGTATCTGAAGTTTAGTGTAAGTATCTCTAGTTTATCATTGTTATAAGAGAAATAGTATAGGGAAGAAAGTAGTGATGAAGGGAAAGGTAGTAACAAGAAAGAAAACGGGGAACAGTTTTGGAGTTAACACGCTTATAAGGTCGCACTACATAGCTTCAGTCATCTTGAGCAGTATAAAGACGCGAATTGACGCAGGTATGTAGGCATATACACACTTTTCACAGACATCTCGACATAGAGATAATGGAAGGAATCAATTTAGAGGTAGGAGACATAAGCAATGATCCCAAGACTTCACCAGAAATGCCAACCTAAATCGTCAGGCAATCTGGAAAACTCCACTAGAACTATACAATCATGTATGAATGGCATTCATATCACACAATAGAAAGGAGACTGGACATGTTGTGAAAATCGGTCCTAAAAAGGGAGTGAACAAAAGGTCTTTGTTTTTAAAAGAAATATTTGACACATGTGCAATAAAATCCACAGCACAATCAAGTTTTAAACTTGAACCAATGATAGGGAATTTTCCGCTCATTAACGTCTAAAATTATTTCGCTGTATATCAGCCTTGAGTGAGAGCTCGAAAGCAGTTTATAACCGTGTATATATATATTCTAGAAATAAATCTGTATGAATTTGATGGACTTAACACATAATATACGAATTAACTGAGGTCATTCGACGCAACGGTAAAGAAATAAAACTGCAAGTTTGACCACACTGTCATAAGTGTAAATGATGTGCTGAACCTACATCATAAAAACTGTAACATGAATACAACTGAACAACTGCATACACCCACTTTGTGTACTGAGCAGCTTACTTGTATCTACTATGTGAAAACTTACGATACTGACAGATGATTGGAGGCAATCGACCTAGGTTTCGTACTTTCTCGGCACTCCCAAGGAAGGTGTATCTACAACCTCGAGCGGGTTGGTGCCTCCTGTGAGAATGACACCTTGGTCATCCAGAGCTTGAGTTACAGACATCACAATTGACCTATTTAGGCTACTCAGTGAGTGGTGTACGTTTGAATTTCACAGGATACATCATTCCCCGTGAGGATTGAAGATACTCTTCAACCCTAATCCGGGTGGATGGTTTCCTGATGATTACCTGGAACCGCCTAAAATCAATCAAAGTTTTTTTGAAGGATCCGGATAATATTATTGTACACTAAAACGCATACAAAACAAAAGTGACAGCATAAATGTTTGACTTGAAATCCGAAGAAATTGCACATTCCAGAAGATAGACAGCCTTGGACATTCAAATAATTAGATTGATACTTGACTAGTAGTGTGTTTCTCTGATTTCATTTGATTTTCCACATATTCAAAGGAACTACTCAGAGAACTTGAGGTCGAAAGACAAAAATGCTATATATACGTAGAGCTCACCTTTTCCAGACTCTTCTTCAACCAGGAAAGATAGCAGCATTTCATTGGACCCCAGAAAAAACATCTCACTAATAATCCAATACACTCACATCACACTTTTGAGTGTAGCTAGGTGATTCATAACTATGAGTTGTATCCCATTCATAGACTTGCAAACCCAGGATATTTCTAACTCTGTTGGTTAGCAGGTTTTCAACCAAGGATTGACTGGCAAGTTTGCTATGAAAGAAATGATCACTCCAGATGTCACTCACTCACTGCTTGCCAACTACTCTGAATGAATGAAATGCACTCACGAACCGTGTGCACACTCGTACAGTAGGCAGTGAGTCACACCTATTTGTGTGCTGGCTACACCTGGCTGCCCAAAACCACGGTAGATGAAGTGGTGCTGAAATCCGTGACCCAATGGTTAAAAGTTATCTCTCTAAGCCAATGAGCCACAGCTCCACACTAACTACTCTAGTTACGTTTAACTAGGTACCGAAATTACAACCACAGTTAAAATGTAACAACTTTATATTTCATTCTACTCTACACCTACCACCTGCATACTGTGATATTTACAGCTGTTAGTCCTTTCGCATCTGACTTCTTCTTAATCCTAAAGAAGAAACTGTTTCAACAAATATAGCCACAGTTAGTCGTAACAAATTATAATGCGGACTAACTGTTCTACATACTGACAGTCAGGGTTCATAAAAAAATTTTTATAGAAAACTATTGAAACGAAATAACAATCCAATTCAACTCACCTTCTTGGCGAACAAAACGTAGAAAAGTCTAAGAAACTAGAAAGATATATTTCAGTAAGTGGAAGTAAATATATCTGGGATATTTTACTTTTAATAAACTTCGAAGTATACATCAGCCAGTATTGATCACCAACACGCTGTTTTGTTTCATCAACAAAGCAAAACAAGGGATCACCGAATGGGTGTAAAAAACAAGCAATAAGAAATATTTTGACGTCAAGAGAGAATCTTTCAGGACAACTGGAGACAAAAGGAAGTATGTAACTGACAGTAAACCATGCGATAGGAGAAGAGACGAAAAGAAAAGCCACAACAGCACAGCAGTACCAGCACCAACACCACAGTAACGTAGAGATAGTCAATGTAAATGGAACGAAAGACATTGAATATTCAAAAATAAGCATTGTACACACCGCCGGTTCATGGGCCTTGGGTTATTTTCAACTTGTATACACTACTTTGTATATGTACGTATGTATATTATGCAAAATGGTTAGTTAGTAGCTTCGAATTGTCTTATTTACATGAGTACACTTGCCTCTGTACTCCATATACTAACGAGTATATATATTATTTTCTTGAATACTGACAATTAATTGAGTTCTATCAATCAACTGAGCAGAATAGAAACTGGATAATACTCATGCACATATGCATATACAGACAATATTAATGATTTTTGAGTGTTGCTGAGGATGGTAACGGTGGAGGGGGGCTAGGAGGCGTCGGTGGAAGTAGATTATCATGCTGTCTTCTTTGATGTTGCTCTAAGTCATAATGATTCACATTGGACGCTTTAATCCATGGATTGTGATCAGAGACACGATATTGTGAATTCGGTAGACAGCTATTTGTTGTTGGTACAGATTTTTCGTTGAACTCCGGTTTGTTCACATCTGCAATGGAAAAAATCAACTACATAAGATAAACTTCTCAAAAATGTTACTTGGCAAGAAATATTTCTGTTGTGGTAGTAGTGAACAAGTAGGTGACAGACAACTTTCGAGGAGGCTTTCATTACAAACCGCCGAAATTAGTTAAAGAAAAATTAAAAATTAGACAGTGTTCAATTACTTTTTTTCCTTCATGCATTCGTGTGTGACTCCCTGTGTGTTCAAAACCAGGGTTTCAAAGTCAGAACATCATCCTCTAAACCGGCAACAACTAGCATTTTTAACCCGAATTCTCTCGACACAACTGGCGCCTTATTCTCTGATCCCATTGAAAGTACTTCGAATATGAAATATACCACTAAATGTGTGTTCTGCTTCGACTCTACTTTTAATTCCACTCAACCAACATCTTCCAAAATGCACCACGACGGTGAACCTCCTAGCTTGATGGCCACACACAAAAATGATCGCTAAAATTTAGTCAGCACTCAGGACTAGACAACATGGAATTGGTTCCTCTCCAGTGACCAATCAATGTAACTAACTCAGTCCTGCAGAAGGTTAGCTGCGGTTTGATTAGCTTCAGAGGCAACGTCGCTGACTACAATACTGGGACAACAATTCTCTCGAGGTTGCAGACGAGCCTTGCTGGCGAGTTCCAACAAGCACAAAACCTAGGTTTATGGCCTCTAAGTGACTAACTAGCAGTAAATTTTAAGTGTGCGAATTCCTGTTGGACCAGGTTATTTGTTCCAAAGGGTTCGAACCTTCTAATTTGTCTACTGCTAAATACCGTGAGGCATTAAGGCAACTAAGCAGTTAACTAACCAAACATTTTATATTTCACAACAAACCTATCACTCCCTATTAGCGATGAAGTATAACAACCATTCCTACTGGAAATATCTCATAGAAGGGTAAAATTGACCTTCTAGATCGTTTCCTTGAGGAAACCCACAAATCCATCATACATATATCTTAAATCAAAGGTTTCTTTTCCTACCTTTACATACGTTTGAGCTAATGGACAAGTTATTCATTAGAAAGAAATGTTTATCAGTGATAATCAAATGATACATCATTAAACGGTCAGGACAGATATAACGATGAGGTTAGAGAAGCGATCTTAAATGTCACTGAAGGGAATATATCTGCCATAATTACGATATCTTTTATGCACATTAACAATTAAATCCAAATGATGTTATTGAACCTACCTTGAGTGGAATAACTAATCAGATGCCGTGATTTCGGTCAGGAATATGATAGTTTCGATGATAATAATGAATGGTAGTTAGCAGTAGAATCCAGGGAGCGCGTCTCGTTCTACTTAGGGCTCTTCAATCGGATGCGCTCCCCTCCAAATAGGAAGTAAGGTGGGTCCCGGATTTCACTATCAACCACTATTCATCATTAATAACAAACTGAAATTGAAGGTAATACCGAGACATTCGGGCACCAGCCCATATACCGGTGTAGACCCATCAATACGGTCCAACCAAAGATGGCAAATTACAAGCAAGAGCATAAGATAGTTGTTTTTCCTAAAATCGTTTGGACGTTTCACTAGCTATTCTGAGTGGTTTTTAAGTCCGCCTGCAGAATCACTAGTCCCAGACTAAATATCATGCCACTATCACCCACAATAGCAACAATTGTGTGCTCACTGTTTAGCATAAATGTTGTTGATCACAAAGTGATAAGGTGAATCAAACATCACAATGTACGATATTTGTCGGTCGCTGACTCTTACATAACTTTAAACAGCACTTCCATTACATGATTTCTAGCTCTCAGCTCCTCAGTTTGAGGAGAAAAACATCGCAAACAATCGCTAAATATTTTCGGATTACATGGAAACCAAAATGAAGAAAGTTGAACTGTGACTCTGAAAGTTACCCTAACAACTGTCTAGGTCCCCTCATTCCGGCTAGAAAGGTATTCTGTATGTGAACTAAGGAAACCTAACTGGTTATTTCAAGTTGAATTCATGGACATTTCCAGATGGAAAGTGCTACAAAAGAAGGCAGGAATAAACTTGGGGTCACTTTTGTTTGTCTTATAGAAGAAATTGAACAAGACACTTGCCTACCTGATAGTTTCTGCAACTGTCCAACATTAAAATCAACTCGTTTTGGAGATTTGTATTCATTATTGCTGTAACCCCTTCCGACTAATGTAGAACTATTGGTTATACTATTGTTGTTATTACTCTTTGCGACTGATGACAATGAGAGTAAGGGTGGTTGTGATATGGATGATGAAATAGAAGAAAATACCAATGATTGTGCTGAAGGAATGCATGGTAAGTACTGCCCCATGGATGATGATATAATTTGATGTTGAGCAGGATAATAGACAGGGGCAGAAGGACTAGGTAATTGATATGCTTCATATATTTGTTGACCTTGTTGTTTAGACAGTATGCCTCGACCAGCATCAAATGTACCATAATGACTGCTACTGTCTGTTTCAGTAAATCCACTCTGCGATAAAATATTATTTGTTGAGCTTTGTGTTCCCGCATTCAACAGCTTTGTAGGTGCTGTAGTCGTCTCTGTCGTCAACATCATCACATCATGCATAGAATGTAGATTGGAGAACAACAAAGGATGTTGGATTGCATTCACTGAAGTCAGAAAGTTATGCATATGACCAGCTGGGGTATTAACAGAATTATTACCTTCGTTATCAAATGGAGAATTCAACGGAGGATTCAATAATACATTGAAATTAATCGAAGAGCTTGATGAGAAATTATTAGTGTTAAGGGGGTTTTGACAGGGATACAAGTTGGATTGAACATTCACAGCAGCTAGTGCAGCAAGTCTTTGTTGGTCTATTTGAGCTAATGTAGCAGCTAGTACAGGATAATCATGAACCATACTTGTAGATGCATATTCTGGACTCATAGTACCTAATTAGCGACGCAAAAACGACAGTAAAGAGGATTCAAGAAAAAAATTGAAGAACTAATGAAAATAGAATGCGTAGAAAACACTATCCACTGAAGTTCGCGTAACTTCTGTTCTATCTCATAAAATAAAAGCTTGAATAATTCACAGTCTATGTTTGTAATTCTGTACTCTGAAAACAGGCTCCACGATACGATATCCAAAAACAAATTGGTGAATAAGAAAAGCTGAGTAGCTAATCCATCTTACTTGAAACTTATCACAGTAGTGTACACTGTAGACTTCTTCTGTATGGTCGAAATACACAATGTTTTCTTTTCTTTTCTGTAGAGTACGTAGGTGCTGAGTTAAAAACCGACAGTTGACACTTTTTAAGCCTTTAAATACTTTGCGAAATTTTCAACTTCAGGGAAGCAAAACATTCACATACCACACGGGTTACGAACATACAAAGTATGGCCAGATGTATTAAACCTATGAACACACACACACACACACACACACAAGCAGTCAAAACATGTATCGTCGAGTAATATAATATTCAGGTAGATTCACTACTAGTTTACTGAGAAAAATGAATTCAACATACTGAACCGCCATACCTGTTATCAACACCAGACATCACCTTGCCACCTGTTTAAAAATAAGGTGCCCTGCCCCAGTGGCTTAGTGGACAACGCTTCAGAGCGATGGATACTGGGTTCGAGTCCCAGAGAGAACAACATCACTCACTGAGATGCAGGTACATCCAGCCGACGAGTACCAAGTAGGACAAAATGTGTGTCCTGGATTTCACTACTAGTCACTAAGATGAATATAAGCCTCAACAATATTCACTTAACTTCGACTTCCCTGGTTTAAACAGGAAGTTAGGGTGTTGATACATTTTTATTGATCGGAGTGGCATAATACTGGTGAATTATGTGTGGAAACAAAGTGAACTGTAATACTCATTGTTTTCGAAACTCTCATAAGTTAGTAGTAGGGAACATCACTAACTTTTCATTAATCCCCTTTGGTTTAGATACACCCGTAAAGTGCTGTCGAACTTTGTAGTTTGCGTTTAAGCAGTAGAAGTCTTAAGTGGTTAGAAACAATCACCAAGAAGCTGTGCTTCGAAGTTCTGTACTTTTCAGGACTCGTCAGGAAGATGCACTTGCATTCATAGACCCCATAAATCACAAGACCGACTGATTCATTGGAGAAGTAGCTACCACTTGATTATTCAAACCACCTGATCATATAACATCGATCTAAGTGCACTGTGATGGCTAGTCTACTAACTGCAAAAATGGTCAACAGGATTTAGTCGGTATGGGTGTAAAACTTGGACACTGTGGTAGAATGTAATTCCACATAAGATTTGTTTATTTGATTTATAACACACAGTGTGATCTAGTATTATGTACTTGATGACGTTTCAAGCATCACTTATTACTCATAATCATATCAATGTAACCACACCACTTTCGACATCTGATTTTTATAGTCATGTCACCTCATATTCTTTGCTTTTATTGGTAATAAAATCTTCCATATCTCTGGTAAGGGTGTCGCATCATTTCTATTACATGTGTTGGGTGCAGATTCAGTGAACAAAAACTCAGCAATCAATCTCTCTCTTCACCTAATTGGACTTAAGTACAGTGGCTTTATCCCACCCTATTGTGTGGCTGTGTTGGTGCATGCATTGCAACAGCCAAGTACCTCTCTACATTATTGATCTTATTCGGGTCTGTCATTCAATATTTAGCTAAATTCCTGTTCCGCTAATCTAACTACCCCCGACCGGCTAGTTTGACCTACGTATTTGACCTCGCAGTCATTACATGGAATTTGAAAGATTAGGTTGTTTTGCTTAATTAGATCTATCGGATGCTAAGCCGACAAAGCCTATCTCTGAGTTTATAGGTTTAAACGCCTGATAAGAAGGAGGCTCTGAACTCTTTTCTACTCGTTTTATCGCCATTATTTGTATTCATATTATTATTATTTTGCTTCTTATGCTTACCTACAAATTTCTTAATGAAGTGTGGAGGATAATTATTATTTATTCAGGCTTCTTTTACATGTTTCAATTCCTTGTTTATGTTCTTGCTCTGAATAGTCAGTTTTCTAGCTCTATCATTTAGATATTTGACTAAACCTGCCTTAACTGACATTCGATAAGATGATCTGAAGTTCAAATACCTGTTAGAATGTGTCCATTTTATGTAGATGGTACTATTCAAACCATCACCTGTGCTTCATTTTATCCTGCAATCCAAAATGGGTAATTCTCCTTGTTCATTTTCTATCTCGTAAAGGAACTGGACCCCATCCACTACTGAGTTTATATGTGTGAAGAAATGTAGTCAGTACTTAGGAGTAAATAATATGAAATGGGTTACCCTCCAATGACCAATCACTATACGCTGGAAGTTTGTCGTAAAAATTTCAGTGACTCTTTGCTAACAAACTGAGGGAAACTGCTTGAATATTTTTTAACAAATGTCGTATCATTACTCAAAAATACTACTTACTAGCTGCATTGCTGTCCACATCTGATTCAGCTCCACCAACTGTTGTGTAAACACCAGGCTCTGTATTCATTAAATTCATACCCAACGAAGAACAACCAATTGCATTGTGATTATGATAACCTGTTTGAATGAGCCAAGAGTTATCCACCATATCTGCTGGATTCGATGAAGCTGGAATCTGTATTAACGGCTGACCGTTGATCAACATCGATGGATTACTTCGAGACAAATCGATTTGAAGCAATCCATTCGCTGTTTGTACAGTTGTCTAGTGTTTTAAATAAACACAGATATCGATTAAAAGGCTAATAAACAAGTAACTTTATCAACAAGATAATTTTTTCTTTTCGAAAATAATAGTCCTAAGTTAATTGCACACGTAGAAACTTGTGAAGTTTGTAATATTGGAAAAAATGTCATGTAGTGGGATTTGGTTTCGAACAAATTGTTTAATGAATACAGAAGAGCCTTAAGCTAAATTATGTCTTATCTGTGTAAGTCGGTCAGAGGCAGTCGACAGGAACCCCTGTATCTTGATCCAAGTCCAATTTAAGTTTTGCTTGATTGATATCGATTTATGATGAAAGCCTCCTATCACTGATAGTTATTGAATTACCTACCTGTGTACTAGTGTCGCATAAAGGTTACTTGTCAGCTTACTCATTTTAACAAGGTTAACTACCAAATTTCAAAAATATACAGCTAAATGGTTTTTGACAAATATACAGTCATCATGTCTTTCTGGTATAAATACGACCGGATTCAATGGTCAATTGTTTTTATTTATAGATTTGGACTTGTAATGTGAAAAGCGCAATATATATTTCATATACTCAGTTTACTTCATGAATTTAAACAAAATGAACGCAGTGATGGTCAGCGATCAATTTCTATGCTTGTCTTGTCTTTCACATGATGTCATCATTAAGTGCAATGAATGTTGAGAGCAGTTTGCCCACCTGGAAGATTTTGTGATTAGTAGAAATACACTTACCTAGTTAGAATGACATGAACATGGGTGAAGTCTTAAAGTCCGATAATTTCTGAAAATTATATGCATTTAATTCCAGACTTTAAGTGTAATTAAATCCAACTTCTTTATTTTATTCGGAAAAACCTGCAGAATTTGCACATCACTGAACAATTTCTAAGTGTTCATGTTTTAGAGTGGGATATTTCGCTGCTCTGCAAAATCGACAATCTGTGACCTAAACTGAATGTATTTCAAGAGAAATTCAGTTGACATCAGAGTTGAGTAGCGAGGAATGTTAACTTTAATTGCGTAATTTATAAATAGTTTGCAAATTTACCACTTCATCTAACTAAAACACCCAATATTGGTACCTCACCGACAGGAACAGATAACTTACACACGGTATTCATATATTAACAATTCGTAGACAACGCAAATACTTCATTCGAATAATACATTCATATACACTGCAACTGAATCCAAGCTATAACTAACTACATATTTCATGACAACATATCCGTATGTCCGTGAACATGACCAGTCTGTTATTTTTATTAATTTCTTACTTATTAAAATGGAAGGGGGGCTTTAAAAAGCACCCTAGAAACAATCTAAATGACCAATTAGACTTTCACATTTCAACTAGAAAGGCAGATTTTCATAAAGTAAAGAAGTCTGATTGCTTATTACAGGACCAGTTTCAATACAAGCCTGTCAAACCACGGCTATCTCAGATAGTTAAAAAGGATAGAAAAAAAGTCAACTGGCAAAAAATCAGGGCGAGGCTAAAAGTTATCCCGAGTGTTTTCCTGTTTTGTTACAGGATATAGTGTGCTGTGCACAAATTCGTATACTTTCTGTATTTGAACAATGCAAAGACAAAGACATTCGCAGAATAAAATGAGCTCATCTTATTTCACAGCCTTTCATCAGATCCAAACAGTCCACAACTGAAATGAAGTATTGGTAGGAATAATGGCATAACATACTCTAAATATGTAGAAATAAATGCAGCTTTGAAATCCACAATTAATACATAAGGTAGTGAGTGAGTCAAGGAAACACAGGATTAATGGTTACAAATCTTGGTCAAAACTAATGGAAATTTATATGTGATGGGATAGAAATTCTGGAGTTGTGGATTGGCGTGAGGAGAGGGGGGAGGGACAACAAACGGAAATCAGTGTAAAAGAAGGGACTGTTTAAGAACCAATATATTACGCAATTACATGGAAGATTGGAAAATCGTGAAGTGATTAACAGCCAATGAATAATTACTGGAGATCTGATGGAATCAGAAGAAAAGGGAAGACAATATATATATATATATATATATATATATATATATACATGCAAAAGATTATATACATTTACCAAGGTAAAGAGCTAATAAGGCGTCTTGTGTCGTCATAATGAATAAAAATGACTACTGACATAAAATGATAATGATTTTGCGGGATTCATCGAGATTCACAGGTGATAGATCCCAAAAGGATGTGACAGCTTCCAGTGAAAATGAGGTGACTATCTCAGGGAACTTCTGAAGAAACAGTTGGTTAGTGGAGCAGCCGATAGTGAACTTAAGCCAAGAGGCTCACGACTACTCTCCATGTACGGTCTTCCAAAAACCTCATAAGTTTACTGTTCCTTTTGTCCATGATAAATTCAACTTGTCACAAATTGGCTCGTTGGTTAGTAAAGAAATTGGAACCTTTCAGAAAAAGGTTCGCAAATCCTAACTTAAATGACACATTCCAATCTTCTGAAGAAGTGGACAGATTAGATATCTCATATAAATTCATGGTATCATTTGATGTTTCCTCATTGTTCACGAACATACCAGTGGATGAAACGATAGACATAATCTGTTAACAGTCTAATCTACTACCATTGCCGAAAATAGAACTGAAACAATTACTGCTCCTCTGTACAAAAGGTGTTCAGTTCCAGTTTAATAACCAACTGTACTGGGAAACTGATGTGGTGGCTATGTCATCACTAGGACCTATCCCAGCTAATATACTTATGGCTCATCTCGAGCGAACAAGTCCAAAATCCGCCACCAAAGAAACAACATATTACTGCAAGGTATGTCAAAGTTACTGTTATTGTTTGCGATAATATGAATTGTGCGTCAAAGTTGTTCGACACCTTCAATCAGGCTTATCCAAATATTAATTTTGCAATGAAATACGAAAATGAGGACGGATTCAATTTTTTAGATCTAGGTATAAGACGGATATGTGATGGTACAGCTGAGAAAACTATCCACCGGAAAGGCACGTAGATTGGTCAGAAACTTCACTACAATAGTTTCTGTCCTGTCAGCTGTAAGTGTGATTTAGTCAGGACGCTATTAACTGAAATAAAAACGCTTTGCTCAAAAGATGGACAAGAAGAATTTGGTACGGTTGAAAAGGCTGATGATGTCGTCTAAAAACGATGAAAGCTCCACGATTAAACAACCTAGCTCAGAGAACACAATACGACCAAGAATTGAGAAGGCTATCATAGAGATTGTATATCCGAAGAAATTCATCTTGAAGCGTGGAAAAGAATTTATTGAGAGACCAAAACATCCAACCGTTGAGAAGAAGCCTGTTTTCCTTCGCCCAGCATGTGAAAGTGATTAGACATTTGAAAGAATAGACAAGAAAATAAAAGCTGCACCCAGAACCAGCTTCCCTGCTGCCAGACTGGTGCAAGTTTCCAAAACATTAAGCTCAATAAATACCTAACTCACATCACATATAACTGCGTAAATCAATTTACGTGTGCTTGTGAAAGCAAGCAGATAGGACGAAATGGAAGAAGGGCTTCTACTGTATGTTATGAGCATATTCCAAGAAATATGTGTCTGAAAGGTAGCAAAGTTTTTTTAAGATCACAGTCACCAGGCACTTAATCGAAAGCAGACATCCAACAGATGCTTTCTAATCCACCAGCAGCCCAGACACAGAACTATCAGTGAACACAAACCTTCCGACAAAAGCAGAAGTGATATCTCGAACACTTTGCGTAGCCGAAATCCGGGAAAACGGAAGGACCAGATGGAATCCCGCCATAAGCACTGAAAACAGACGCAGAGACAACAGTGGACATGCTCACACCACTTACATTGCAGAAGGGTTGGAAGGAAGGAAGGAAAGGCACCTGCCTATTGATTGGAAGAAGGGCTAACTTGTCGAACATCCAGAGAAGGGAGACCTAAGTGTTTGCAAGAAGTGGCGAGGAATCATGCTCCACTCCTCTTCACCCCATGCAAAATATTAAGCTACATCATCCTGGAGAGACTGAACAATGCTCTGGATTCAAAATCACGACTGAAACAGGCTGGCTGGCTCCAAGAAAAACAAATCGTATGCGGATTAAATTGCAACGCTACACTACACATCATCATACAACAGAGCATCGAATGAATGGCAGTCAACTGGATCTTCAGCCCAACTTCATCGACTTTGGAAAGATCTTCGATCGAGGCATTGACTGAGAAGTAATTTGTCAGACAGCTGCTTCAACACTGCGGTTTTAGTGCCACAAACTTTTATCAACCTCATTCAACAGCCAAATTGAAAAGACCACATGGTAAGTGATCCAGAATGGAAAGCTGAGCTGAGTGATGCCTTTGAAGTGAAGACAGGAGACAGGAGTAAGACATGGCTGCCGCCCATTATCACCGATGCTCTTCCTGATTGTGGTTGACTGGACTGGACTGGATCATGCAGCAAAGTGTGAGAAGATGGGCATACTCTGCTTTATCGATGAAAAGACCCTAGAAGATTTGGATTTCGTCACCGCCGATGATGTTTTATGTCTGATGTCTTGTGGCACAAACTCGAAGATCTACAGGCAGAAACCAACAAGTTGACAGAAGAGGCGAAGCAGCGAAGACGGGACTTCTAGTGAACGTAGAGAAGACAGAGGTGACGGAGATACCCAACACACAAAATCAACAATAAGCATCAATCACCATGAACAGGAGAAACCTTAGGGAAATGGTCTGTTTCACCTACCACCTTGGCAACATCGTTCCAACTACAGGTGGCATAGACGACGATGTCAAAACCAGGATCAGAAAGACAGGAAGACAAGCCTTCACTAACCTGAAGTTAATGCAGAGATCTACTGCATTTAGCATAAAGCGTGAACGAGATCCGGATTTTCAACACTAATGCTAGTCAAGTCAGTGCTTCTGTGTGATGATTGAGAGACTTTGAGCGTCACGAAAAGCATTTCCAACTAACTAAAGACATTGGTCAACAGCTACCTATGGTCGATTCTGAAGATGGAGATCAGATGACCAGAAAGGATAAGCAACAAGGAGCTCTGGAAACGAACCAACCAATAACCCATTGCCCAATAAATATGCAGAAGAAAGTGGAGATGGATTAGATTGGGCATACACTAAGAAGATTGATTGGGGACATTATGCTCCAGGCCAGGCCATCGAGTGGAACCGTAATGGAAAACGACGAGTTGGGTGTCTGAGGCGAGGGTGACATGGAGATGGTGTGAGGAAGAAATGAAAGCTTATGGGCAGTGGTGGAGCCAGGTTGAAAAGATTGCAGAGAACAGAGTGGAATGGAGACGTGCTACCAAAGCCGTATGTTCCACTAGGAACCCAAGGGACAAATCATAAAAATCTCTCAGGATAATCAACAAGCAAAGAACGTCGTGTTTATCACGCTTAACAGAAGCTCTCGCCATCAAACATTTTGAACCTGACCTATTTACTCAGACAAAGACTGTAATTAACCTTTCTTTACCTTGGTAAATGTATATAATCTTTTGCATGTATATATATATATATATATATATATATATATATATATATATATATATATAGTCTTCCCTTTTCTTCTGATTCCATCAGATCTCCAGTAATTATTCATTGGCTGTTAATCACTTCACGATTTTCCAATCTTCCATGCAATTGCGTAATATATTGGTTCTTAAACAGTCCCTTCTTTTACACTGATTTCCGTTTGTTGTCCCTCCCCCCTCTCCTCACGCCAATCCACAACTCCAGAATTTCTATCCCATCACATATAAATTTCCATTAGTTTTGACCAAGATTTGTAACCATTAATCCTGTGTTTCCTTGACTCACTCACTACCTTATGTATTAATTGTGGATTCAAAGCTGCATTTATTTCTACATATTTAGAGTATGTTATGCCATTATTCCTACCAATACTTCATTTCAGTTGTGGACTGTTTGGATCTGATGAAAGGCTGTGAAATAAGATGAGCTCATTTTATTCTGCGAATGTCTTTGTCTTTGCATTGTTCAAATACAGAAAGTATACGAATTTGTGCACAGCACACTATATCCTGTAACAAAACAGGAAAACACTCGGGGATAACTTTAGCCTCGCCCTGATTTTTTGCCAGTTGACTTTTTTTCTATCCTTTTTAACTATCTGAGATAGCCGTGGTTTGACAGGCTTGTATTGATACTGGTCCTTGTTTTTGGATTGTTGAAATTTGTCAAGGAAACTAATTGTATGTTGTAGTCGTATTTTACCTATCCGTGTAGTTTCTAAAACGCTTCCTGTCACTGAAGCGTGTTTCGTGTCCAAGGTATTGGTTGCTCTTCCACCTCCAAGTTTGAATGTTATTCCATTTATTTATGAAAAATGATGCTCATAAATAGAAGGAAGTTACCTGAACCTTCAAAGTGGACGGAAAAGAATTTATTATAGCAGTTTTCCTTTCAAAATAAATGCTTACAAAACATAGAAAATACATATTTTCACATAGAACACTGTTAAACTCAAAAATATACTTGTGAATAACACAAGTGTTCTGAAGGCCTGAGTTTACTCTGGAATAAAGCAGAAAATAATCAAGTTATTTCTTTCTCACCCTTAAAATCATTATAGTGACATGACTTTCTTTTAATGTGAAGTAACCATAAAAGCATGCAGTTTAGTGCAGCCGGTCATTTCAGATCTAACGTATTACAGCTACGCATGACAAGAAGACGTTGAGTTGTTATATTTATCGGACGACTCACTTGCATATTTAATAACATAAGTTTTCGATACTCAACAGCCGACAGAAACTGGAAAGATCTGTAACAATTATTTCATAAAGATTTCCTAAAATATATCATAGACGATGATTTGAATCTAGTTAAGCTGTACCTCATCGGTTTAAAGAGATGACTTTCAACCAATGGGTCACGAGTTTGAACATTGCTACACCTACCAAAGTTTAGGTAGCCAGGTAGTATCATTAGCCCTCATTGCTTACTGTAAAGATGTGCACAAGGTTGCTGAGTGCATTTCGACCTGATGAACTCAGAGGTAAGTTTCTGTTAATAATGAGCATATGGTTACGTAATGGCTTCAAAGATGATGTTCACCTCAATATGACAAGACAGGAAAGAGGTATATAACATTATAGTCTTCTAATGATTACTCCTCTTCTAATATCAAATTGATGTCAATGTCTGAAAAAACAGCATCGAACTGTGAGTTTTTTCTACCACAACTACTTACCTGTCCTCTAATACGTGCATTCAATAAATCAGTTGGACACAATCCCAAATCATGGCGAGATTGACTTTTGGCTAACTGAGCAGCTATCGAAAAGTCTTTGATACCATTTAGAAATTCTGTATGAGGTAGATTACCGTTAATATTATTATGATGACTATTCTCAGTCTCTCTGCAGTTGATATTTCGTTGTACATTAGTAACAGTATTATCATTAGTAATGCGATTAATCTGTGAAGTTGTTTGACTGTGATTCGCTTTCAAGGAGCATCGGTCACGATACTTTTTCATTTTAGACATGCACAAAAATAATGATAGAAGGGGTGATTGCTGTTGGTCTTGATGATGATGATGGTAGTGGCGACTGTATAGTGGTAAACCATGACGATGTGCATGGTTTTCCCCACCGAATTTATGATCACAGAATGCTTCAGTCTCAGATGTGACACCATCACTGTGACCAGTTGTACCACCAGACAGACGATTAGTAATTGTATTAGACTGGTCGACAACAATACCAACGCCTGATTGTGATGTCTGTTGTTGCTGCTGCTGATGCTGTTGACTTGGATTTTTGTCGTTTGAACCACTTTGTGTAGATTCAGCACTCGTATTGGACGACAGAATCATTTGATGGTAAGATTGCAATCCTCCATTGGGTAGGATGGTTGAAACTGGAAAAATAATGACGACAGGACATATAAGTGAGAATTTTCAACATGCAAACTACAGTATATGTTAACTTGAAAACTGACAATGATGAGGAATGCATATCAGTGACATCGGATGGTGAGTATGTTACACCAAGAACTGAATAACTTTAAAAAATGTAAACCATTGGATTCCCAAGCACTGATTCAATGTTATTGTTGCGAAAGAAATTGAGTATACATCGCTGAGGACTCTCAGTCAAAAACAAAACAAATTTCCAGGGCTCACTAAAAGTTCTATACTTTTTTAAACTGATATCCACAATTTCCTAGCTGTTGATAGAAAATCTAAGATATCCAGAATTCAGCTAACACTGATTAACACCATTCAGTGCATCATACGCTAATTTGAATAGTTTCTCCATCTTGAGCTTAATGAATGGTGGAACCATTCTGAATGTGGAAAATACAGTCTGGTTATTTCATTACCCTTACGAATCAGGCAACACAAAATGGCTCCAATGAATTCCAAAACTCTATCTTAAAAACGTTTCACTAACGTGAGGAATACACTATATGCGTATGCATAGCGCCGGTCTGAGATGAAAGTTGTCTCAAAATGTTTAGTACACTGAACATTCCCATTTAGACATTTAGAAAAATACTGCTTAAGAGATAAAATATATTCCTTTTCAATTAGGTCTTCATTTTGGGCTCTACACTAATACCTAGTTTTACTATTTAATCAAATTACCAATCACGTAGTGGGGGTTGGTCAACAGTAATCATAGATTTTAAGTAAGTCATGAAGATGATGTTTTAGAAATAATGATGTAACTAGTCAACAGAGTTATTAAAATTGGAAATATGAAGCAGACTATTCTTAGTTAGGTAAATGAAGTGATTTTTGATGAGTGCTCAGTCATAAATAATAAGTAATTCCGTAACCATAGGAAAACAAACGAATATATTGATCGAAACAAGAAGGGGAAGAGGTGTACAAAGTAAACCTAGAAGTTACATCATGTTGACGGCCACGGTAATGAAAGTGGCCGAACAAACTTCTTTTGAATACAAAAGTTAGGTTTGTAAAGGTGGATTGCAATCGCTTCTGCTATGTGGAGTAAACGAGTGAGTAATCCATGTGGTAAATTAATTGGAATCTGATGGATGATTTTGAAAGATTTTCTAGTACCCACTTGATGTCCCGTGCCAACTAGGTATGCAAGTATGGAGTTCTTTATTGTTCTAATTTGCGCCTTGCTCAAACATGATGGGTGGTGCTCAGAAATTCGACGATGGAACTGTCTCATTGTACGCCCAAAGTAACCTCACAGCAGCAGTTGAGTTGATAAATGCGCATAGAGGTGGTAGAATCAGGCAGCTTTTCTTTGTTTCTTGCCCTTAGAATCCCACAGTTGTAGAAGATGCACCCGTGAAGCTCACTGGTAAAGTTGCTGACCATAACACTGGCTGACGCGGGTTCGGATCTCAGGCAGGACATCAGTTCCGTTGATGTGTGCAGATACGCCTTGCTGACGAGTGCTAACAAGCACGAAACCTAGGTCTAGGGCTTCCTGACGATTGCATCCAACCAACCTAACATCTACTAATGTGCACCGCGATTCCAAGCCTCCTAGCTTGGGGGCCACATATTGCAAATATGACAGGTAGGACTCTGTCCGTACTCAGGACTAGACAACATGAAATTGGTTGCTGCACCGTGACTAATCAATATAAGATGAGACGTAATTTAGAAGCCGGAAATGCTTTTTGCAAGGCTGCTCTTATGCGTTGTGTTGATCTCACTGACAACGTCACTCTTAAATATCGGCTTCAAGAATATTTGTTCCTTAGGGACTGTCGGCGTTCTTGTCTTAACCCTCGTAACATTCATATGCTTAGTAACAAACTTCGCCAGATAGCCATTCCTACTAAGCAGGTCACAGATGATGGTAAACTCTTCCTCTATAGCATCGTCTGGGCAAATAGCTGTGGCGCGGTATGCTAGACATTTCACCAAGTTCCTTCTGTTGTTCGCAGGGGTACAGCACCGAAGAATTACGAGTATTGACCTGTAGATGTTGGCTTTCTATATATACTTCGTTTCAAAGTTCCATCTAACCTTCTTACCAGCAGAACACCAAGAAATGGGATACTGTCATTTTTATCACGTTCCATTTTAAAGTTGATTAGGAGATGAACACTAGTGAACTTATTGAGAACAGCATTCTTATCCATTTCACTTTTGAGAACTAAAAAGGTATAATCCATGTAACGACAGTAAAGTTGGAATCAGCTAATAGTTTCGTTCAGAGGATCAAGAGCTAATTGAGAAGGAATATATTTCTTCTCCCAACCAGTCTTTTTTTAAACGTTTAATCCAAAAACAATTTAGCTTTCTGAATCTGAGTACCAATACTTACATCTCGTATCCACAGCAAAGCTTACTATCAACTTAGAACTTATTGTATGCAAGTCTTATTAGTCATGTGTCTTGAGATCATTCTCAAAATCGAGCACATTATATACATGATCGAATTTAGAGTGAAGAGAAGCATTCTTACCTCCAGTTTCAGAGTTAATTGCTGGCAAAACAAATGGGTACATATTTGGTCTAACTGCTGTATAAGCACCACCACCGGTGCCACCACTGCTACCAATAACAAAATCCCCATTGCCATGTAGGCCCGTTGAATAGGCATTCAAGCCATCTTCCCCTCGAATTAGCAATGTTTTGTGCACTTGATGTTTCTCTCTCTCTAAATCATGTCTTTTGCGATGCATCCAAGTAACAGAAAAACAAGCGATACCTGCCAATAGACCGAGAAAACAACATAGAAGAACTAGGACCAGAATGACCACAGTGGATAGACGAGTTGATGAGTCGTCGAGTACAGCATCGTTTACTGGCGATGCTTTGTTCGTATCAGACTCGAGTTCTAAAAAAAGCATAAAATATAAATAAATAAAACTCAGAAAGTTCTCATAATCAATAGAAAGGACCAATAATAGATTATTATCATTTTTACTCACACATGGATCATTAAGAGAGGGGGATTCGGAAGTATTTGTATCTTAGAATTACAATCATCATAATGAGCTGTTCACTTAGCTTGACTTTCGACTAGCTAACATGTTTCAATAGGAGAATACACACTGTTATCAATGAATGAAACGGAGTAAACTTCTCATTGACTTAATATTACTATTCGTCGGTGTTCAATGAAATACTCCAGTTCAACAATAAAATGCCTAATCTGGTCTATTGTCAACAATTTTAGTCTATTATCTGAAACATTTTCAGTATGAATTGAGACGCTGTTGTCCGACTCCGATTCTACTCTCTGTCGGAGTAATAACTGCCAACAATTAGCATCTTCAACGTCTGCGCAGAGTGAGCGAAAATCGGGCTCATCAAAGAAAGGTAATTTAATAGCAAAGTGACATTTTGTACGATTTAGAATGAAGTTACAGTTGGTATTTGAAGGAAAAAGAAAAGTATTAGCAGATTTGAACTTTCTCGAGTCACTCATAATAATAACAGTGCTCTATTCATGTTGGTAATTAGCAGTGGAATCCAGGACACGCGTTTCGACTCACTCGTCAGCTGGATGTACCTGGACCCTGGACAGTTGTTTCATCCTAGTATGGGACTTCTCGGTAGTGCGCATCCGAAACCCCACCAGGAGTCGAAGTCAAGACAGCCAAGTGTCATGACGATCACGTCGACATTCAGCCACTCGGTCGGAATCCGATGTTTCCTACTTCAATCAACTCGGGATATAGTGTAATCATCATCCAATGTCGTCAGTGGACATTCGATTCATCTCCAACCTAGTTGATGCTGAAGGTCACACCTTTTTTATTAGAACTTCAGGAAATCCATCTCAAAGTATGTCAGTGATGAGCACTTGGCAGTAACTTAGTTTGAAGGCTTGTGGGGATTCACTGATCTCGAGGTGATATGATTGATATCAGTTGAAGAACCTTGAAATCAATCAATCCACATAGACCTCCGAACTACGTGGTATTTTTAAAAAAATTGCTTCAAAACCCATCGCAGAGACACAAATGCATCAACAATACATCGTGCCCCAGTGACCTAGTGGGAAGCGCTTTGGCATTTGAAGTGGTGGATACGAAGTTCGAGTCACAGTGGGAATAACATCACTCACTGGGGTACAGATACATCCAGCTGACGAGTCCGAAATAGGACGAAACGCGCTTCCTGAATTCCACTGCCAGTAACTAAAATAAATATTATACACCTTCAGCTAAACAGCTACATTATGTCTCCTAATTTGCTATAATCTATCTTCTTTTCACTTTGTGGATTTGGACAACTTTTGATAGCATTATTTCCATTTTTTGTCTTTTTACATCTTGTTGCCTTGTATCCTGATAATCTGATGTAAGGTGCCATGTGGTGAACCACAATGCAGTAGTATCAACTTCATCTTGGTGGTAATCACTCAACTGAAGCCCTGTTCTTACAGGATTCAAAAATCTGAACTAAATCGTTGCAGATAGACGAGTTTGAAGTGTCATGCATCTGTTGGAGCTGACATTGGGATGGATTGAGGAAGGAAAGTAATACAGATTGCACACTAGATCAGCTACTTCTTACTGTATAAATTACTCTCCGAATAAGGATTAATAAGTAATCGGGTCTCCCGATTTACCGGTAATGTCTGTGCCGATTCCCGTCGAGTAACTTTTATGCACTACTACTATAAAACCTGTTACATTGCTTGAAAATGCTTCCATTAAAAGAGACAAGTGCCAGCAAAACCAGAAAGTATGGCATAACTGTCTCATTTCATTCTGATATATTTCAATAGTATGTAGTACGACGAGCACTTAACCAACTGAATCCATCGGAAAGAAAGCCTTTAATTTTCAACTGAAACTTTGATACCTCTCAACTTTTATCTGTTATCATGGTTTTTCATCAACATAAACTTTAGTTAATCCCATGCATACTGAAGTAGCTAAACACTAACTGTAAGGCTCAAATGACGAATTAAGAAGCCGAATATAATAAACAGTAAGAATGAGTGTAACTAGGTTGTGACTCACCTGCATTCACTGGGTCTTCTTTATGATTCATTCGATCACTGAAAGACTTTTCAGCTATCGAAGACGATTCATCAAGTTTTATAGATGCAGTAACTTTTTCTAAAAACAGAATAGGAATGAAAAGGAAAGCAACGTTCAAAGTAAAATAGTGAACTATATACGTTTTATATGATAATTACACAGCTATGAACGTCAGTACTGTTCCTCTCTCTCTCTCTCTCTCTCTCTCTCTCTCTCTCTCTCTCTCTCTCTCTCTCTCACACACACACACACACACACACACACACACACAATATTCAGACAGAGACAGGATCAGCGTAGAACCTCGCACGCAATTGCATATGCTCAAGTTGCAAAATTTACAATAGTATATAAAGAACAAGTGGATAGAAAATGACTGATATCAAAGTGAACAAAGTTGTGTGAGGCGATAAGTAGTTTGAAGATAATGGTTAGTGTTAATATTCAGGCTTTGGAAGACGTTGAGGAGTGAATACGTCTGAAACCGATTTTCAGCCATGTAATCAAGAGTCCTCAACTGCTGATTCCTTTCATCTTGGAGACCTCAGTTAGGTAGTGTACATCTCATCCACACGACTCAGACAGGCATAGGCTACATCCACTAGTGCCACATCTTCGTCTGGCCACGCTGCACCTTCTTCCAACCTAATCCAACTTCCCCTAGTATGCCACGTTGAGGTAGGCTATGACTGGGTATACGCAGTACATGCGCAAGCCATCTCAGTCGACTAAGGTTCACAACCTCATCAATCGGCCTACCTATCGTGCTTAGTACCCTTTGCCTGACTTCAGCACTGCTCACATAATGACTCCATTAAAAGCGAACAATGCTAAGAAGATATCTGAGATCAAACCCTGTGACTGCTTCATGTGTTCTACTTTTAACGGTCATGACTCGCAGCCATATAGCAGGAGGGAACGGAATGCAGCGCAGTACACTCATCCTTTGACTGATAGTCGGATATCTCCCCAGTCCGTGCCATAGATGACGCAGTTTGGCAAATGCCAGACGAGCCTTCTGTATTTAGGCTAAAATTTCGTCAACAACCAACCTGTTCGGGCTGATGTAGTTCCCCAAGTAAGTGAAGTGATTGATGCATTTCACCACCACCCCCTATCACTAAACTGTGAATGCTTGCAGCCCAGTCCTGGAGCACCAATTTACATTTGGCGGATGCGAAACCCATGCTAAACATACTCAGATTTCTGCTCGACGCGTTGAGAACAACCCGCATTTTGTCAGCATCTTCACCAAGCAAGACAATATTCACAATTTCGCGATACCTTTTGCATATTTTTAGTAGGATAATATCGTCTTCATTGTTTATATACTACTCTTAAACATGCTCGATCTTGAAAACTATTTTCCCTAGTTGGCTGGATGGACAGACAGAATCAACGTAAATCCTGACATACAAGTGTATCGGTTCAACCTGCCACACTTCACAGTGGTATAAACGAAACAAGTGGATAAAAAAAGGCTGATATCCCAGTAGGTAGGTGTGTGGGAGGAGAAGGATCTCGAAAATTAGGGTTGGTCAAAACATTTAAGCTTTAGAAGGCATCAAAGAGTGAATGTACATCTACGTTATAGTGACCGATTTTCATCAATTTCACCAAGAATCCTCAAACACTGATTCCTATTGCCTCGGGGACCCCAGAGAGGCAGTCTACACCTCTCTACACAGGTCAGATCAACAATCAGAGACTTCATGCACTGGCACACTAGTTGGATGGAGACAATCGGTGTATACTGTGCAACTGTATATTCTATCCTATTAACTACGTCGGCCTCCATGCCCTTTTTTGAATAATCCTCCAACAAACTTACACCACACTTGTGATTTTCCATATATCAATAAAAAATTATAATCATTCAACCCTTATTTTCCTTACGACATTTGATTGAATAATGCTTGTAACTATCCAATATGATGAAACAAAACGTAAGAAATTACGACTGTACAGTTGTAGAGAAGTAAATCGCTGAACCTTTTGTTCTCTTAAATTATAATTTCAAATAAAATGAGAAACTGAGAAGTTGGACAATCGCTTAAATAAAAAACAACGAATTTTTGACGCTTTCCAATCAACAACACCTTTCCCTATCATGAAGTACACGAGATTCTATATGAACAACTAATCATGTAGTAAAGGGATTAAAAAGTGAACGACTGATTGTCAAGGCCTCAACTACTCTTTGCAAAGTGATAAACGACTCTGACCTGTAATCATTAATTGTAAAGCATCCGTTGGTCGAAACCATTTAAGAGAGTAGAGGTAGACACTCAGTGAAAGCATTGACTGAACTACAAAAATTGAGACGACTGAACTATGACTCACAGGTTGATAAATAATCAGCTCATTAAAACATTTGAAGATTCTGAATTTTATCATGAAACGAGTTCCATGGTGTACGTTGTCTAGAAGAGTCCTATAGTAGGATCCGAGACAGATGCTCTGTTTACTAGTAATGCCACAAACGATGGGAGCTGGGGAACATCGTCCTACGAAGTGACTAGTCGCGTTTATGAACAACCCCCCCCCCCTGTAGTTAATCGCATAGATATCAATCTCCTTCTGTCTTATGTTGCTCAATACGGAAATTTCTCCTCTTTGTGTATGTATGAGTTAACATAAATGACTGGCAGTCTTTATAGATATGCTTAGAAGACATATCTAAAAACAGAAAAATAAATGCTACTCGAAGTTATTAGGGTTTGTTGTCGGGCTTCAATTAAATTAGATGTATACAGGTCGTTATGCAGACAGCTAGACCAACGTGGAATATCTTGAACAAAAGTGGACGACTTTGGTGCCACGAAATACCATAGCAAACAGAAAAAGACTGAAGTAAACAAGAAGCTTATGGAAGCAGACGGAATAAATAATTTATGGAATTGTACAAAATTATGAAGACGATAAAGCATAAACACATCTCTACATCACTGAGAGACTGATTTCGAAATAAACTGCCACCAGCGTAGAACTATTAGTTCCCATCATCTTGACTACCTAAAAAAGACAACCTACACATACTATAACACACTTCATAAGGCTGCTGAAACTGCAATGTGTTAACTGACTTCAAGCGTAAATTTTATGTAGATCATACAAGTAGGAGATAAGGTCCAACCGGATGGTTTGAGATGATCACACGTATGTCCAATGTAATTCTGGATTCGGTTTTCTCAAAATTCTTTGGTATCTACCTGCATCGCAACGTCTTCTGTCCTATCTTTCTGGCCCCCGAATTATTTCCATCGCATAAAGGTGCACATAATTCATCAATATAACACATCCGAGATCCACAAAATGTGGTTCCTTATCCTTTATGTGATTGCACCAGTTCAGTTGAACTTTCTTCTCTTCCAATATCAATCCCCGTTGTCAATATTGCATTTTCAAGTATTTGAAAGAAGAACAAGAAGTATTTCAGTAAGCAGTCTGCTTCGGGGATTTCATTTTCACAGCTGTACAATCGCAAATTTATACATCTGATAGTCAAAAATGGTTTGTCAAACATTGCAACACAAATAGTATCAATAAATGAGTTGTCATTAAAACCAAAAAACTGATGAGTAGTGAATATTAATCAAAATAAGTTTAGTCAAGAAGAAGACATTCCATATAACTAAGTATTTCTAAAACTTTTCAGTAAGTGAATTGTTGTATCGTCCGAAAGCTTCTTCACCAGCTTTGTCGCAGAATTTCCAAACAAATAAAATTTGTCGCCTGTTAGTTTGTCAATAAAATGATCTCTTTGAGAAATGCTTTACATGAGTTTAGGAAGTCGTCAATGTATGCCATCAGTCAAATTTGGTGTGACACCTCAGAGTTTAATAATTAGAAATAATTATGGAATGGTACTTTGAACTGTGAACTTATGAATTAGAGGCAGTTATATGGACCGTTATCAAAATCCCAATATTTTGAAGTAATTAGCAATATAATGATTATTTCTGGTGTCATAGGCAATAGGGCTTTGGATTATTTTATATGAAAGCAAAAATAAAATATAAGACGAGATAAAATTCAATCATACAAAAAACAATAAACTAACCACTTTCAAATCGTATTTCACTGAATAATAACCAATCATCAGAAAAAAATGCTTTCAGTTGTACAACTTGACCAATTCGATAGGATAAATCCATGATAATGTTAAAAACGCCTAGACTTCGATTTTCTAGCTTGAAATCACGTGATATAGATGACTGACCGGAGAAATGCACTCCGCCTACGCTAAATTTCACTTCTATCCTCCGAGGTATACGAATCTGTAATTAAAATTATAAAAATATTATTTGGTTTGTGAGGTGCTATGGCTAACGATCACAACGTTCTACAGTCGAAATCCGAGTTTAAATGGATGCAGATTCATGCTAATTACTTGTGCACATCCTGAAGAGTTGTGTTATCAGCCAGAATCAGTTAGTTTCTGATGAAATCTCAACTCGGATACAGAAGACCTGTTCAACACCTACCAACTTGCGTCATCTTTGGCACCAACGAGATATCTAGCTACCTGTTTAAAGGGCGAGCGTATCGTGCTGCAGTGTGATGAAGTTGTTCAGGTTTGTTCCGCTGAAGTAGTCTGCATAAAGTGATAAAACTAACAGAAATTCACCTATCTGCTTCCCTGTGGCTTGACAAATATACTGTCACAACCAGGCGTCTACCCGTTCATCACGTTATTCAAGCCCATCAGATTAGAAAACTGTACTAAAGTGACTTTCCTTAAAGATCAAAATCCGTTCGATGAGTTTCTCAAAGTATTTACATGACACAGTGGCTTTTGAAGATGAATAATCACCAACGGTACTGAAGGACAATCATGCTACATATCAAACCGAAAGAAGGAGGTAAAACGTAGACCAGTTGATTCGAACACAATATTTTAATGAAAACATCCTAGCCACAAGACCAGGTGGTCGTGGATTTCAACCCTTTACCGTCTGGTTAGTGCTAGACTGAAAGTAAACAGCTTTCCTTTGCTTTCAGGTTTTTAATGGTTCTCCAAATGATGCGATGGAAAACATTTTGGAATTATAAACGTATTGCAACCTAAGTTGATACTCAAACGGGTATTCTTTAAACGAATCAAACTACTTTAGAATACTGTAGAAAGTGTCATTCCTAACTAACCTTCTCCAAATGGTTATTAGAAACATAAAATCTAAGTCTTGTGAAGTTGCGTACAGAAGCGAAACGAAAAAGCATATCAAGTACATCGTTATTTTTCTCTTGTGAACTTCTCCATCGATCACGATGCCAACCGACAAATTGATGATTAACTGATTTCTCTGTTTTTGAGCCTCGGTGGATTAGTGGAGTTGTGTCACGACTGGCAATATTTAAATCAATAAGGCAACCAAGTCCTCCATCTAAAAGACTGCCGGGTTCAATTCTATGACCATCGTAACAAGTATCGGAAAACGGAAGACCTCCGCCAGCTTGACTGAAATTTTGCTTCCCATGTGCAAATAGTTCTAATCCTTGAGCTTTATATAAATGCGTTTCAGCCTGATAAGGAGGCTGTGCAAGACTTCCTTCAGGTATTCGGTATTCAACAAGATCATCTGGTCAGAAAAAGAAATGACAGCTATTGAATGATCATAAGAAATATCAGTTATACGAGCACACTACTTATAAAACAATAAGTAACACAAATAAAGTGAGCAATAAACGTTTCCGTAATCATAGCTATTAACGTTTAATCGGTCCGAAATCACTTGACCAAATATCTGCTGTCACTACTCTACAAAATTAATGATTGAAAGAAAAAGAGTTGTCACGTGCTGTCTACTTTACTCATTGTTCAGCGACTCTGTCGAGGCAATAAACTATTTAGTTCATCAACTTTCCAGGAACAACTGATTAACTGATTATCACAAATACTGTATATATATAGGAAGCCTACTTGGACGGGACAGTATTTGAATTTCTGCAGTTTTTGTCCGATGAAATATAACAGAGGCTTAGTAAGATGCTTGTTCAATAGAACCCAACGTATTTGTACGTCTGATACGATGAATGATGTGAATAAATTTCTGACAGACACTCTAATGGAAAACGGTTATCCATTACAGTTTGTCAACCATTGTGAAAAACAGCTGACCCCGAAGCATATGGTTTCCTCGGTCCCGAAGAATATATTTCTTAAAGTACCATGCAGGGGGTAAACGAGTAGTGTGATATTGAAACAGAGATTAAAATCTATTATCAGTAAAATATACTCTGCAGCTCAGCTTATCATTGTTGAGATGACAAAACACCTGCTTCGGCACGAACCTCAACCTCGCGTAAATGATTATATCATATCTCACTATGTTTACCAATTTGCACGTCTGTGTGGGCACACACACATAGGGAGCAGTAATCGTGCTATGTAGACTACGGTGGGTGAACACATACACAAATGGCTTGAAAAGCAATTCAACACACAAACATTGATGAGTGCAGGTGACAGACATCCATCGTCATCTTTAGCAAAATATATCATTGAAATGAATCACAGGGTTAGTACGAAAACAGCCATCAGGATATTATACAGGAATAATCAGGGGCGCATACTGAAATTTGCCGAAGCGTTAGCCATTCATAAACTTAAGCCCCCGCTGTGCGTGCAAAACAATTTGGTGTTCCACTTAATTTACCTTGGTAATCCTTATCTGATTATATTACCAAGACTAGTGTCACAACCCCCTTCATATTCAATATAGATGGCCTTTGATTTTCATACATAAATTGACTTGACAAGTAAACGTGATCACACTGTTCGAAATGTGTTGCGCAAATACATCACATTTTTCAGATAATCTTCGTCTTCTAAAAGGGTTATCGAAACAAATGTTGTAGTCTATCTGATAACTAGAGACAGAATCAAGGAAGAGCATTCCATCCTATTTGAGACTCATCAGGTGGATGTACCTGGACCCCAGTGAGTGATATTGTTCCCACCGAGACTCGAACCCAGTACCCATCACTTCAGACATCATAATGCAAAAAGATAGGAATGTTAGTTAACAAATGCTTCGTATGAAAAAGAAAACAGGAAATGTTTCACAAAAACTTATCTATAATGGCTAGTATGCTCAAAATCTGTAATAACAGCTAAATTTGTTTCCTAAATATATCCTATAAGAAAACTATCTCCACTCTCTGCCGAACAGAATATGAAAAGAATGTAATGGTGAATCAAGCTATAATCTACTCATCAAAATGTTTGCTCACTTCATAAGCATTAAACAGAATCAACTTAATCGAGTACAATAAGACCAAGTCATGAAAATCCGGTTATTCGAATCGAAATCGAAATCCACTCAGAAACCACGCACAATAGGCAGTTAGCTATATCCATTGCGTGAGTGGTAGTGATACTACATGACGGCCTAGACTTAGGCAGGCGGAACGAAGTTCAGACCCCTGACCAACCGATTAGAAGTCAAGTGTTTAAACTGACAAGTCACAGCTTTACTATCTGATTTCCAGATGTATAAGGAATGAAGACAGTTCTCGATAGTCGTGATGAAAAATTCAAAGAGATTATTTGTAGCCAACGAACCAATAGGCCAATTAGTGTAGATAAATACGAATTCAACCAGGTATATGTGCCAAAATCAAGTGACCGAAAACGCTTCAAAACAGAAGTACTTTATGTCGCTCTGATATGAACAAGTAAGAATGCTTTTCAGTGATTTTTAGGCAAAATAATTTCTAAAAGTCCATTTGTTAACCTGTTGTACTCATTCTACGATCTTATCAGATGCCCTAGTAACTTTTTAGTTCAACCGATGCCAAATCAGACACGCTGATTCACAGAGATCTCAAAAATTGTACATATTTGAAGAAATAAAATGAAAACTGTGATTGATTTATGAATCCAATAACCGATATTCAAATGTATTCATTGGCATACATTGTATGTGGAAATGGTTTGAAGAGGAAGAAATATCCGGTTGGCACTGATATGCATCGAAGGCACACTTCGATACTAATTTCGACCCTATACCTTGCTAAGCTTCATCGTTGATTGGACCGAATTGATCAGTCACTACTGCCATATGGGTTCAGGTACAGATGCCTCGATATTTTCCGTATTTTCAACTTTGATATTAATGGTAGGCAGTGGCTAACAATAGAATATAGGATGTGCGTTTCATCCTACTTGGGATTTATCAGCTAAATTTATGTGCCTCCTAGTGAAGTGATTGGTCCTCGCCTCCAGTCCTAGCAGGAACGACATCACTCACTAGGAGGCAACTGCATCCAGCTGTCGAGTCCTAAGTAGGACGAAGCACTTCTCCTGGATTCAACTGCTAACCACTAATGTTTAACGATTATGACCTTGTAAACAGTTTGAAGTAAACAACTAAACAATATTAATGTCCTCGAAAAAAGAAAAAGTAAAGCTCATCAAAGAATAATTAATAAACCACATACCTGAGAATCGACAGCCATATGCTTCAAGTCGGATACAAACAAAACCTGGAGGATCACGATATGGATAGATACGAATCCAACGAGCTATTAAGGGTGGATCGAGTACAACAAATTTAGGCACCAAAGCGTCTAAACCACCCAAAAGACGTGAAGTCTACAAATGCAAAGTGACAAAACACACAATAAGCAACCAAATGATGAACAATTTGTACAGATAAGTCAGCCAACTTGAATAAATGATACATTTAAGCAGTACAATAATGAGGCAAAACATCGGTTGTTCAGTATGCGATAAACACAAACTACTATATGCATAAACCCTTAACAGTAACAGTTTATGTATTCATTCATCTGATGGTTAGAAGGAAAAACCGCTTACTTAACATACAATGAATGACGTGAAACACAGTTGATTCGAAGGTAAACAGACGACTCTAATGCATTTGCTGAGTGAATACTGTTATAAACGGTTTAAAGTCGGACATCATCCGAATCGTCAATGAGGACAATACAATATTAGGCTTCATAAATGACAAACAGAATCACCTGATAGTATCACATTCTTTTAGTATCCTTCATTGGTCAAATAATTTTTATGGTGTGAAAGCTATTCCATGAGTGTAGTTGACTTTTATTCAAATCAATGAAGTAAAGTGTTGTATTTTATTATTATTTAATTATCCGTAAAATCCTATTTAATATTTAAGACGTCTGAAAACTGTAGTAACTTTTTAGGCCACCCTAGCAACAACTGAAATGACCAATCAGAGTTCTCTGTTTTATGAAATTCTATCTTTCCAGCCCAAATGAAGGAAACTAATTGGTTATTTTGATCGTTGCTGGGGTAAACTTTAAAGTCTCCCGGAAACTGCAATCATATCTCAGTTAGGAAAGATGAAAGAAAACTGTTGTATCCATCATGAGTTGACCAATTATCAGAGTGACTTTAAAGGCCACCCTGGCAACAACTGAAATATCCAATCCGACTTCTCTATTTTATGAAAATCTGCCTTTCCAGACGAAATGCAAAAACCTAATTCGTTATTTCGATCTTTGCTACGGTGGCCTTTAAAGTCACCCAATAATCACAATCCCGGAGACTGAAATGAACAGCGAGTCAATTACTGGTGTTTGACCTTGGTCTGTCCAATAGCTATTCTTACTCATGAAAGGTTGATCATTAGGCTGTCTACATTCTTTGAGCCTTATACATTTTCATATCTTCTGGTAAATACTATAGCCTACACAGACGTTATGTTCTCATTGAGTTGTCTAGCATGACCAGCAGTGTTAGGATCCGCTTTCCATTGAATACATGACATTGAATTGCTCATTTTGAAATTACATTAATCATTAAAATATGCCTAAAAACTGTATTATGTACTCTCATGCATTTTTAAAATGTTTTCAACCTATTGTTTTGTAGGTTATCAATACGATTAAGAGAAAACAACATGGTTGGTGGCAATGGACTCTAAAGTCCATAAAGATGCATCCCATAACTATTCATCTAGTACTGCAAATAGCAAAGCTACAAGGACTTTTTTATTTATGTGAAATATACCCGTCAGGATATGAAAAAGGACGAGTATTTCAGCCGTTAAGAAAACTAACCCTTGCACTAACTTCATCAAGCTTGGTGAAGTACTGTAGAAACCCATATATCAATTCAACTGCTCCTGTGGAGCCAGGTATATAGGTCGTTCGATGCAACTGTTATTCAAAAGGGTTCAAGACCGCTATCCAGTGTGTTTACAAAGAAATAACAATGGAAAGATAAGAAGTGTTATAATTGAACACATGGTGAACACAAACCACATCATCCCAAGAAACTCCCCATTCAAAGTCATCTATAAAGTGAAAAGAAACCTCGCAAAGGCTGTATGTCTTCGTATTCTCTGCATCGCCGAAGCTCTTACCATCCATATAAAGAAACCTGAAGTGTGTACGTAAAAGAAGATTGGTAAACCCCCTCTCGTTTCCTGGTCCTTGTTTTCAGTCTTTGAAATCTCCTCTACCTCCCCACGCTTTCTTTTCATTTTTCTGTTTTGACACTATTCAATTCTTGAGTAGTTCGCTACTCATTCTTGTTGTTGTGCTCTGCTTGATCACAGTTGTATCATCATGTTACAAAAACTTCTTGTCCAAACGTTTTCATTTGTTCACACCTTCAACAACCTACCCGATGACTAAAAGATGACATATCAGCAGCTGATGGTGCTAGAGTGAATTCAAATGTCATCCTAACTATTGAAATATTATTTTCAAGCCATTTGTGTATGTGTTCACCCACCGTAGTCTACATAGCACGATTACTGCTCCCTATGTGTCATATAATCATTTATGCGAGGTTGAGGTTCGTGCCGAAGCAGGTGTTTTGTCATCTCAACAATGATAAGCTGAGCTGCAGAGTATATTTTACTGATAATAGATTTTAATCTCTGTTTCAATATCACACTACTCGTTTACCCCCTGCATGGTACTTTAAGAAATATATTCTTCGGGGTCGAGAAAATTATAGGCTTTCAAATTCATGCTGAGAATTCCATACTGCATGCAACATATTTTCTGGAATAAAACTATTGTTATTATTATCATTATTATTATTACTGTTCGAACCCGTGACCCAGTGAGTTAAATTCAACTGCCTTAACCAAAGAGTTGCAGCTCCGCCAGTCAATACATCGAAAGCCAAAAGGAATAAAAGGAAATAAAAGCACTGACCGCATTAAGTTACGAGTATGTAACTTTAATTACTTCGCTTAACATAGTCACTTACGATGGTTGGACGTAGTTGTCGATATGTCCTCCAGTTATCTTCACTCTGTTCTCGCTTATATCGAATAAAAAAGTATGGTGTATAACGGCTACCCTGTAAATTTAGAAAAGCATAATCATTTTTGAGTTTATTTTCTTCTCTGCAGAAATAAATAGTATACAGTGGTAGTATTTAAGGAAGAAAATAAATGTGGACTTCGTAACCATAGTGTAACTGGCGTAACAGCCAAGTCCAAGGTTTGTAATGTGACCAGGAAACTAAGTGATATGACACTATGGTGCACCCTACTTTTTTGTTATATGTTAGGAGCAAGCTGACAAATGGCTTTACTTGACCCAGATTTTATAATTTTGTCCCCTCGTCAGTAAATTGCATCTGCAACCTTAAGAAAACTCATATCAATGGGTACTGAATTCACAGATTCTACTACTAGGCTATTCAGGTCACGATCAGACCTTTGTAGTCCATAAATGTGTTGATTCAATCTAAAGGTTTGTGGAGATTCCAACCTGAAATCAAGTAATAAATCTCCACAAACCTCTAGATTGGATCAATCTAGTGTTCATTGGTGACTAGCTTCGAGAGATGATTTCCGAACTTCCAATGAGAATTCGTAACCAGTGAAGCCAATCAGGTCGGACATGAGGACAGTTGCTCAACGACGACATTGTATGTAGGTCGCATTATATCGTGAACTGACAGGAGTGGTATATATGGACCACTGGATTCAGATCCAGCAGCTAAGTGGTAACGTTCTGGCCACGGAACCAGAAGGTCGTGGGCTAAATCCCTGGCGTTACGGAGTCATGGGTGCACAATGCTGAGTAGTCCTATACTAGGATGAAGCAGCTGTCCAGTTGCTCCCAGGTTTTCAATGTTTCTCCAACTGATGTCAGTCCATGATGAATCCCAACCATAAATGTGTTGTGTAGACAGGTCTGTAGCAGCTTGAGATTTGATGTACAAACTATGTTGGACCAAAAGCAGAAACAATATTTCATGGACTATATTCATAAGTGTTGTTCTCTCATTACGAGAAAAGCTCTACCGTACTATACCTCATAGTAGAAAGCTCCCGATAATCCAATAAAAGGTTTCAAGACATGTCACAGTAGATCCGTTCACATTGACTGTTGAAGCTAGACTCATACAATTTCTAGTATATTTTCCACAGTGTTTCAAGACATTCATGATTGAAACTACTTGAAATGCATAAGACAAAAAATTGACTAATTTTACACTTATCCTACCTATCCACCCTTTACTTATTGTAAATCGAAAGATCTACTGCAATGAGGGTATTATGTGCTGAAAGTGTATTAATTTCAACCTACTTTCATAAACTATAAATGTGAAAAGTTTATCCGGGTGGTATGTTTATATTCATAAATGCCTAGAAATAAAATGTGTGTGTATGTGTACACCAGTGACCAATTCTACAAAGTGAACAATGAGGTTTTTATAAATCACAAAAGAGCTGGTATCAACACATGGAGAGGACCATCAGAAAATATTGATATTTAAAGAGATCAGATTGTTTATGCGTATTTTCGTTACCAATAGTATAAGAGAATTGTTTCACACCACTTCAGATGGGAAGTATAGCTATTTGCTAGTGAGTCAACTGCAGTTAACTTCGAACTCAATATACTTGGTGAATAACATTCATAGTTTATTACACAAGAATATTTACCGATTGATGACCAATAGACACTTTCATATCAGAAGTCTTAAGCGATATTTTTCACTGGATAGTTTATCGACAGGTAACTAACTCCGCTGAGATAGCGGTTAGGAGAACGACTGAGATTCTAAAAAAAGTATCAACATGGGGCGTCCAACTTATAAGCGAATTCCGCATCCATTGTCTACTGCATGGTATTAAGGTACACTAATTCAATCAGTTAAATTCAGTTGCTCGAGTTAAATTTGTCGCGATATATTGCTGATGAGTTTGGTAATGGATAAACGAAACGGTTATCTTATGTTTAGACCAGCTTGACCAGACTACCAGAATCTGTGGATAAGTATTAGTGGTTTTCAGCTATTTGTGTAATTCAGTAGTGTATTTTTGCATCATATAGCTATGATCTATTGATGTAAAGGACTGAAACAAAACTATTTCGAAGTACTACAACGTGTCACTGTCTTTAAATGCTAAGCATCTTCGAAAATATGGTGAAATCCAACTCTTCATCATAACAGGATTTTTTTATAAATAATTCCTGGAAGTAATAGCTTTCGATGGAACAAAAACAACAGCATCGCAAAGAAAGTCACATCGTCTATTACCACCAATCAAAACACTTTATAACCGATTTCGCTATATACTGGGTGGTGATTGAAGTTGAAATGAAAATTTGGACCGTGGACGGATTCTAACCAGCGACCACTGGGTTTCCAGTATCAGTACTATTCTGCCAAACTGTGGCTATCTCAGGTGGTCAACATGATCTCACTTTAGTTGAACTTAAAAATCAACTAATCCTTTCATACCTTATTCTGTTTACAAAACACCATAAAATTAATATTATTATGTTGTTAACAACAATATCACTTTCTGTTAATGATGGATCGTGGCTAGCAGTGGAATCCAGGACGCGCATATCGTCCTATCTGGGACTCGTCACTCTCTACCTTCTCTGATCTATTTTGAGGTCTAACCGGTATGAAAATAGTCTTTGTCAGAAATCGATCAGATGCCTTTAGAATAATGACCTAAGAATAATGTACTTAACGACAGATATAAACATAATATGTTCTGTGGTTTTAAGTTTCTGGATCTAGGATGAAACAGTCATTTACCACTCTGATGTTAGATACCAAAAGTGACTCGGTAGGAAGCCTGTCACTTATGTTTTATGGTTGTTGCAACTCATCAACAGGGCATATTTACCACCTTCAAGAAACTTATTTCTTTTTGGAGGTTGGAATTCGCATCATCCACTGCTGAAGCCACAGACTTTACCAGTAAGATACTGACTGAGGTTCAGACCAACCTGCTATAAGACTGGAGCATGCACTTGAATTCTTCACTCTATAGTAGTCTATTTAGCTGTCAAATGTTAAGAACTCAAGCACTGATCAATCATGTTGGTAATGGTGCTGCTTAAGTAAGTGAAACCACAACACTACGACCTATTTCACTGTGAGACGTTTCTCATCAGTGATTAAGTTTGCAGTAGTTAATGCTCAAACTAACACAAATTGTTGACCAACAAGGAAATACAACATACAAATTAAAAGATAAGAGAATACACTTACTCCATCCTCAGCGAGCAGTCCACTTATAACAACCTTCGTAATGATATTCAATTCACCCATATCTACTTCGATATATTCATCGCATTCTGTTCCAATACGTTTCCCTGGACACCAGGCGAAGTCGGTATTCTCATTCCTAAGTCGGCGACAGTAACATACAATGAAACAAAAAGATGACCATCAGTCAGATGATGATATTTTCCTTCGAGATAAAAAGTGCACTCTTCACAGAAGTGCAGATAACAAACTAATTGATTTGTTGGTTGGAAAAAAAGCCATAACGGTAGGATAGGAAACACAAGGCAGTGGACAAAATGAGCATAAAGTACAGACAGTTGAATGGATTCTCATGCTAAGTAGAAGATGAAGGACTGAATCGAAATAGATGTTTGCAGAATATTAGGGTATAACCAGTTCGCTCAAGTGACACGACGTAGTTCGACTGTTCTGAACGATTCGGCTTCCTGAGCTGAACCAATTAGATCACACCACTGATGAGCTCGGTCCCAAACAAGCGAAACAGCCTTCTGATATTCATACCACCTTGATCTGGTTAGTGAGCACTGTCGAGCTGTGTAAGTGATCTAGAACCACCCATGTCAGTCAGTATGATATTTCGCATAGTTTTGATACAGGATTGTAAAAATTTATAGTTGTATGATATAAAGTATATCAGTTTGAATGAAGCACTTTCGAAGTGAAATCACACAAGCGACACAACTCTACGTATCTTCAGTGAATGGATGAATTATCCACCTTCTCATTCCAAGATGACATAGACTACAAATATATAAGTTTTTTGCTAGGGATGCCGATATCCCTTGTGTTCCATACTTACAGTTTGGGTATATTTGAACCGCTTTACTTCACGCTCTTTATCCCGTGCATGGATCATATTTCGCGTGACCCGCTATTGTTCTGATTGGCTCCTGCCTCTTTAAATGTATCAATGATTCCTTGTCTTTCAAGGTTATTGTAAACTCTATAAATAGGGTCAGTTTTCATTCACAAACGCTTCAGTCCGAGATAAGACAAACTCATCTGGTTTCCAGTCTTTTGATTTCTCTTTGCGAATCACTCGGGTTGCACCGTCTCAACCCTTGACTACCAATCGTGAAGTATTTCCGTTCGTTCTCACAACTCCGCATCATAACACTCTTGAAGTTAGTATTTTAACTCCTAACAGATATTCTTTTGTGGTTCATTGGTTAAGGGAAATGACTCTTAACCAGTGGGTCATCAGTTTGAACCCCAATCCACCTATCCAGGTTTAGGCAGGTAGTATCATAAGCCCGTACATAATATGCGTGAATTATTCCCCACTGAGCGAATGTATACAAAGTTGCTGAGTGTATTTCGGTTTTTCCGAGATATTCCATCATCAGTTGGTATAACATCTGGGAAAATTACTCGAAACTCAAAAGTAGACACTGGATATATTATTTCTCTTTCGAAGTCTCAAATAATTAAAGCATTTATCATTCCCACAGGTGATATCAAATCAATCAGCTAAATGCGTTAAATATATTCGTTTAATGGTGACTCAGCAACAAATTAGTTATCGTTAAACCACTCCCTACATAACAAGAACACATAACAGTAATCATCAGAACCTAACCTTTGACAACAACTTCCTTTTCTATGTAATGTGTTAGCTGACGAATGTCATATCTCAAAGAAAAAGTTCGTCACTGAAATAACTCAAAATTCGCACCCTCTGTATACCATTAAAATATTGCCGTTGACTTCCTTAAGTGATATACTATCTAGTTACGCACAAACTACAGTCACAGTGGACGATTAAAACAAGGTGAAAACGTCAATACTGTCAAGTCAATTCTGAGGTTTATGGGAATTTATTTATAGATTTCAGGTTGACATCCATCACTGTTTAACATCAGTTGAAGAAACACTAGGAACCTGGGAGCATTGGATAACTATTTCACCCCAGTATATGACTCCCCAGAAATACGCACCGATAACTTCGCCGGGGGTTGAATCCAGGACCTTTAGGTTCCCCTACCAGTGCATTGCCATTAAGCTACTGGGTTAGAGTCCAACGATCCATATTTCTCCTACTAGGACAAAACAGCTGCCCAGTGCTCTAAGGCTTCCAATGTTTCTCTAACTGATGTCAGTCCATGAGGAATACAAAAACTGTCATGTCAGCTGTACATTTATAAATACACTAGCCACTAGCAAACCATAACCAAACTCGATGTGCATACTTACCGAATAGAATGTGCATTATACCGCTGGGCTCCAGAAGGATCAAGTACTTCACTGGTAGCGTTGAAAGCAGAATCAGAGATTCTATGCCGATTAACTAAAAGTGACTGAATACACTTTGTTTTGTCTGAATCATAATCATTTTGCATCAGACTGACATCAGAATTGGATAAAGCTGAGGCAGATGAATGAATCTTGCCACCACCAATCTGATTGATCACAACCAAAGTGATTAAGCAATAAAATACTAGAAATGACATAACAAGAAAAGAGAAATACATTGTTTAGCCTAAATAAACACAGCGTACATGTATAAAGGCTGAAACTTAATATATATGAAGTAATGTTGCCTTACTAATTCGTGCAAAAAGGTTATGACTAACGTCAACCATTATAAAGTACGCTTGTAGAACAGCTGGAACACTAAGTTGATGACTGTGTCCATAGGGGGGAATGATGAAAATCTAGGCAGCGGCAGGATTGGAACCAGCGACCTCCGGGTCACTGACCCAGTACTTTAGCAACTTAGCTACGGGACCCCTCCAATCACCTTCAAACATCACCACTGCCATCTCAGATAGACAACCTGAAAATATGCTTTCAACAATATTTTACTCTTTGTTGAATAATGTAAATCCTTGCGTAATAGTTCATCTCTTCAAGTTGATATACCATTGTCGATATAGGAGTAAAAAACAAACAAGTGTGTGTGTTTTTGGTGTATAAAGCTCTACATCTAAAGTAGATATTATTCGCTGATTAAGTGATTCCCCTGAAAGCAAGAGGTGGATCCTATAGTCTTCTAGGGTTAAAACTCTCAACTAATGTATATCACAGCTGCATATTTTGAAATAGTATATGTCTACTTGATGCACTAGCACTCAGATATTGCCTTGATAACAAATACAACACAAATCAGAAATATATTCTGACTCATATGTGATTCTCTTGAGATTTCACAGACAAACATTACTCAGTGGAACTGAATAACACGGAACCATTCCACTTGCGACTAGAATAACCGAAAGACGGTCCTATACCATCAGTCTGTGTTTGGTAAGAGGAAAAGGAATACCAAATATCCTCCGATTTCGTCTAAAGCGCTTACAAGCTCCGTATGCTGTCAGTATCTTCTTCACCCAATTCGTAATTATCGATAATTTCCTGGTTAATGGCTGATCGGAAATGGTAAAAAGAAAATAATCAGTAGTATTCACGAAAGAATCAGTGAACAGCTTAGAAAACTGAGTGAATATCAGCGGTACTGAACTGAGGAAAAATAAATTAGTTCTGGTTCCTTTATATTATGATATTTATCTAAATTGTAGTAAGAGAATTCACGTGTCATGATAGAATATTGGTTATTTAGCAGATGTTGCACTGAACTGACCCGCTGCTGTTTACCAGACAAAAGTTTCATCTATCACATATGACTGGCAGAGACAGGATTCTACACTAGTCATGATAATATGAAATCTCGTCCTTATTTAACCTCTATAAAACTTACTGTTATCAGTATCGAAACTGACAGAATAGTAATCCGACTAAAGTTCTCAGATATTTCAACGAGATCAATAACGACAGCTAGACAAAGAGCGTAGTGTCAGGTGGAACTACAGTCCATGGAAAAACAAAGTTAAGATATTATAACAACCAGTCTTTAGGCCGAGGAAAGTACTAAAAGAAAACATCCAACGGACCTTAATCCCCAAACTTATATCTTACTCATACACGTGCCAAAAGAACACCCAACTTTAATCGAACTGGTGAACACTTTGATTTCACATTCACCATCATCTTCATTAGTTTCTGGGGTAAGATTTAAAGAGGAATTAAAAAATTACTCAAACGGCTTGGTTTAGTGGTGGTCCGATGTCCTGTATGCGTTGTTATTCTGTCACAGACGTCTCATCACCAGACTTGATGACATCCTCAGCACTAACGTCATAGAGACTTCTTTATAAATAAACAACACTACCATCTTCGTCTTGAGTAATAAATCTTTCCCATCAGTTCAGACTTAGTTTTAAAAATAACACTGGAAGTAAAACACCAAACACACACACACGATTTCGCATGTAAAACTGATCTTACATTTTGTAGAGTTTATTATCTATTCATTATCACGCATCCACGAAAAAATAAACTAAACTTCTAATAAATAGGTACGAAAAACAAAAATGCTTTTCTAGCAATTTTCTGATAATCGATTTCGGAATATGCAAAAACGCGGTAAAAAAAATGTTGCATTCACATAGATGACCTTAATTAACCTACATATATACACAAAGAGTGATTATGTCCTTTTGGACCTTGTGTAGTAGGGGGGGGGGCAGAGAATGGTAAAGGTGGAGAGATGTACACGGAATGTGACTGCAAATAATTAACGCATTTTACCCAATTTACTTATCGTCATCATCATCATTATCATTCAGATTTCCTGATAATAACGAACTTCAGACAAACAAACAAGATGACCGCAAATATGAACGAGAATTAGACACGCATCGTTGCCTCACTCAGACCGACCTAACTGAAGTATAATGATAAAAAACCAAAAAAACTAACATATAACCAAATATTTCAAGTTTCGGCTTCATCATTATTTTCTAAACTGGCTTTACATGCACATGTGTGTTCACTACTTACATCTTAATTATATCCACAATGTGTGTGTATGTAAATATTTATTACAAATGTACTTATACTCTATGATGATTGAAGGCGGCAGGATTCGAACCAGCGACTACTGGGTTTCCAGCCCGGACTCTACCAACTGAGCTACGAGGGCCGACTGCTGACCAGATTTTTATCTCACTTCGATCATCATGGTCAGAAGTCCTTACTGGGCAGCCAGCATGAGTGCGATCAAGTGATGGTAACGCATCACGATTCACATGACAGCCGGATAAAGCACCAGGCTGAAAACCCAGTGGTTGCTGGTTCGAATCCCGCCTCCTCCAATCATCATCTAGCATCAGTAATACTCTGACAAACCACGGCTATCTCATTCAAATATTCAAAACAGCAAGATATACTTGTGATAATAATAATAATTCAGTTTATTCCAAACAATAAATATTCTTGTAGCTTGCACGCTTGAACGAGCAATCATAAATGGCGGACTGTAGACAAATGTGTCCAATAAGAAGACACAAGAAGGCAGGCAGGCAGATATGAGTCAACACGCTGTTGTGCAACTGACAACTTTCATACTTGTGTTTCTTTGTTTTACAAAATCTGATGCATCACATATTTAAAGAGATACAAAAAGTTATTTTGACGAGAAAATTGAAAATTCCTGTTTAACTCAAGTGTACCCTTCGCTATAAATCATTACCGAGTATGACAACTACAAGAAATCGATGACAGCAGTTCTATACTTCAGGTTCCGTGGCCAGTACGTTAACACTGAGCCGCTGGGTCGGAATCCAATGGTCCGTATTTCCAACTTCTGTCAGTTCACGACATAGCACGACCAACACCCAATGTCATCGTTGAGTATTTGTCTTCACAGCCACCAGGTCATGGTTGCTCACTGCTGGGGGGTCCCATACTAGGACGCAACAGCTGTCCAGTGCTCCCATGTTTCCAATGTTCCTACAAGTGATGTCAGCTTGAAAAATCACACCAATATCCTTGAAGTCATATGTACCATCTCAATCCACTCATATGGAGACAGACAAATTAACCTACGGCGTCACACAAAAGTCTGTTGGTTCAAATTACCTCACATCATAGCACCTTGTAAAGAACTAGATAGAAAAAGTGATATTTGGGTGGACAAAAGTGTAAAAAGTGTATCGAATGCGAAAGGATAAATAGAGTAAGGTTAGTCGAAATGTCCAGAATTTCGAAAATGTTATAAAGTGCATATATCTGCACCACTGTGATTGGTATTTGGTTATCTCACCAAGGGTTCCCATGCACCAATCTCTATTATCTCGAATACCTTAGCCAAGTAGCCTAAACCTTCCTACATGGCTGAGACCAACAGTCAGGAACTTTATGAAATGATGTTACATCTTGGTCTGGCCACCCTTGGCCTTAGTTCAATCCAATCTAACTTCGGCTAACATTGTAAGTTGAAACAGGCGCATTACATGTTTAAGACACCTCAGACTATGAATGTTCACAGCCTCATCGACTGAATTGCTTTCCTTTCCTCATACTGTGCACCTAACTTGAACAAAGCCCACACAATGATCTCACTATATATGAGCAATGCTATGAAGACAGCTGTGGTCAAAAACACCTAACCTTTTCTTTCCAGAGGGCATGTCTCATGGCTGAATAATCGTACAGACTGAACTGTTGCACAGTAGATCGGTGAACAGAAACAGTACGTGCACAAATTCAGAACTATGTACTACCAGCTCTAATGTTCAGTAGTGCCCAAATGGATGGAAGCGTTATGTGTTGTTATAAAATGCACAAATGCTTTCATCCTGTATTCTATAGGCAAGTATGTTGAGGTGGGGGTGGGGATAAAAAGGAATATTGTAAGTAATTAAACTTCAGAATCAATCATTGCTAAGGCATAACAAACCCAGAAAAAGTCTATTCACTGATACGTCCATTCAAAAATGCTACTAAATACAAATTTTTATCACCACCTGGAAATAATAATAGTGATGATAACATTGAATAGGTTTCAGAATGAATGGAGGGAAACTGAAATAAAAATATCATTCTTTATTGCATGGTTAATCACCTGTTATTGAGGTTGCAATGTTTTTTGGTTCATTGAGAGTATATTTCCCCTTGGGAATAATTAGTAGACACATTTCAGAAGATATTCCAGTAAGGATTAGGGAAAGTTTTATGTGACTTAATCACTCGTGAAATACAAGAATTTGACACTTTTTTCTGCCTAAACACGCAGGCAGTGCTACCGCTATTCATCTCCAAAATACCAAAATTTAAGTTAACCATTAGTTTTAAAAACTATTTAGAGTATCCGGGTGCAAATCGGTGATTCAACCCAATTGTTAGATTGTTTAACTTCACTAAATCCACCGACAGATTCCAATTACTGGAAATGGGAAGTTGAGAAACACAAGGCAGTACCAATTGACCACAAACAGGAAAGTGTATCATATATAAGCTTTATAATTTAGTTATTCATGCACATCGTCTGTGCTCAACAACTGACTGTCTGAAGGATTATACGATGCTTGGAAACTTGAGTTAGGTTACATGCAAACTAAGCGCTGGATTCTGTCACATTTGACTATTTGAAGCCTA